CGAAATATCCTTCCACAATCGCTCTTTTCCTCCATCAAAATCGACGAGTATCGAGCGTGCATCGAAGCCTTGGTTCGTTTTAAAATTCCACGATTCGAGCGGCAGCAAGAATCCGATCCTAGAAATCGGCTAATGACACGCGTACGAGTTAATCATCGAGCACGGGGATACCGCGGGTATAATCACGTTGGATTGGCAACGAAACGGGAGCGTAACGCGAAAACAATTTATTTTTTACGATTCAATTTCACCGGTCGTTGGCAACCGATAGGTAAGACCGTTCCCTTCGCGCTCGAACGTGCCCCGTGTTCGCTTCTATAAATTGGGGATTAACGGCGAACGGCCGACGCTGATTGCGGAGAAACGCGTGTGCTCACGCACGATCGACGACCGTCTAATTTATGTGAGCACGGGGAGCGCGGTCGTTAACGCGAAACGAGCAAGGATTTTCGCGCTCCCATCACGATCCTTTTCCCCCCCTCCCATTATTTTCCGCGACTCGTGGTTTCTTGCCGTTTCTTCGATGAAAGTCGAAGATCCGGTCATCGAGTCGAATTTGTCGTTCGAGAGCTCGTGTATCTACACCGTTTTCCGTTTGGAAAGAAAAATCGTATAGAGGTGTGTATATATATATATACACACACACACACGAGTCGCTTGTCGGAGGGAGGGAAGCAGTCGTGTAAACAGGTTGTTCGCGTACGATGTTTATACGAACTTTATGCGCGTGAAAGAAATTTTAAGCAGTTTATTTTTAACTGGTTTAATTCATTTGCGCATGCGTGTATCTTTGTAATATCGTCGTCGGGACAACGACGTAATATTCGAAATTTATTTTCGTTGAAGCGTTAATACGAGAAGAGGTTGTTATTGTTACATCGTGCAAGTTAGGTTAGAATTCTACGAGTGTGTTTTCTCAGTGAACTTTTTCAATTATATTTATGTGGTGTCGTTTGTTGTAAAATCATATAATGTTGTGATCTTTGATGCACGACAGGCGAGGAATTATTTCATTAAATTTCATTTAGGGATAATTAATTCATTAAAATTATCGGGACGAAATTTTTTTACCAACATTCGATTAAACGACGCTTGATAATGATTGTCCAGCCGAGCTTCCCGTTTATCTAAATTAATTCCGTTCGTTCCAATTATGTGCACGGGGAAAAAAGTTGAAGTTAATCCGAATTAATCCGAAAAATAAGCTAGATCAGATGCGCGATTGAATCCGCATTGTTTGAACTTGAACTCGGCTTGTTATATTAATCTATCCGATTATGCGAACTCTCTCCCGTCGGATGTTAAATGGAATTCTGCTAGATCGAGTTTGCAAAATTATTTTCAAATTTAAAATGGATATTTAATATTATGGACGTTATTCTAATTATATGAATCCATTTTTGTAGTTTTAGATAAATTAAATACAAACGAAATTTAATTCAAATAAGTGAAAGTTGGTATAAGTAATTCATCTTCAAATAACAGAATTTCACGTATAAAATTCAATTAATTAATCATTGACAAAAAATATATTTCTTTATGTTTAATTCTAATTTTCCATATATATTAAACAAACCATTCGATCCATTTTCTATTATTTTAGATATAAACCAACTTTTGGAAAGTATATCTTTCATTTTATTAATATCAGAATTGTTAGAAAACTTTATTTTCTAATTTGTTTTCGAACGATTTTTATTACAAAAAGTAAACAAAAATTGTAATTGTAATTCGCCTAATTAGAACGTACGGAAAAATCGAATCCCAAGCTCATACATCAAAGCCACCAAAGAAATATTAAAAAAGTAATCAAGATTAAAATCAATCAATCGATATTTTTTTTCCATTCCGTAAAATTTCAATCTTATCAATTCTATTGGATGCTCGCTAATAAAAGGTATTAATATGCTCGGATCATCATCATCATCCACGAGTTACGACAAATGTCCCATTTACACTCGTCATTGTTACACGCTTTTATATTTTATACTCGGCTCGCGAAACGGATAAAATCGGTTCTGAAATCGGAATCGAAATCGATGAAAAGAGGTAAACACTGGATAAAAAGTTGGACAATGGTTTTCATTGGAAGCGTCGAGCGGGCATTAATTAACGGCCGGCGGGTAACGTTATCGCCGCCTCCCAGATAATTATTATGCAACGCATACACGGGAATAACGTGCCGATAATTTCGCACCATTCGAACAAATCTGCGCAAACATGATTAATATTACGAACTTTGTAATGATATCGGATATTCGAGGATCCCGCTCGTTTCTATCGCGTTCGATGACATAATTAATGATAAGCGTATATATATATATATATATATATTAATACACCTTCGACAATCTTCGTTTCGCCGGTAATATATTTTTAATCGATCGATCGAGGACCTGATTAAGTAAGTGGTTGTGCGATTATGTAAATAAATGTATACGCATTTATCATTTTGCGATATGGAACGAACGAGAGAAAAAAAAAAAAAAAGTAATCGTCGAAATTCGAATCGTGAGGATTTTCGAATTGTGTGAAATTAAAAGAAATAATGCAAAGGAAAGAGAATTCGTATTCTAAGACGCGAATAACTTGCTCTCAATTATAACAGAGAGACTGACCGTTATAGCTCGAGTTTCTCTGAATTTGTAAGAGTTAAAATGCATCTCTCCATTCGAAATAATATAACAAGTTTATATATACGTCGATTTACAGACGGTTTTTACGAGTAGAGGAAACGAGTGAGAAATTGTAATCTTATTTCACAGTCATTACAATTTCTCTCCGATCCCATTCCTTCTTCTTTCTCTTCTCGCTCTTAATTATCGTCTTGCTCCACTGCAACCACGGTAAACGATTTATCAGGCACGGTAATTGGACAATAATTATACGAGCTATATCGTATCACAAGAAAATATTACACCGTTTCCCCTATAGATATCTTAATTCACCTTCCATATAACGTAATTATACTGCATTAATTATTCAGCGTATATTCATTGTTTTATCGCGTTTTCGGCTCGATAATAAACACAAACTCTCGGGATTGCGAACAATGTCGTCGTTGCAATTTAACGAAGAGTTAGGAGTTCGTTACTTAAGAATTGTAATAGTAAATTGAAGAGAAATAAATTGAAAGTAACAAGTATTATTATTATCATATATTCAATCACTATCTTCCATTTCTAATTTATTGTGACATACGTGGGTATGAAATAACTTCACTTAAAAATAATATTTGCATGATATTAATATTCCTTTACCTAATTTTAAAACGATTCCAACGAGTCCAAGATTTAGAAACTCGTCATCAATATTTGTCTACCAGTAAAAAGATGATTAATTCTGCGTTAACAATTTAGAAACTGCGTTACTTAAGAATTACTCTCGTTCAGTGACTATCTTCCATTTCTAATTTATTGTGACATACGTAGATATGAAATAATCTTAATCACTTAAAAATAATATTTGCATGATATTAATATTCCTTTACCTAATTTTAAAACGATTCCAACGAGTCCAAGATTTAGAAACTCGTCATCAATATTTGTCTACCAGTAAAAAGATGATTAATTCTGCGTTAACAATTTAGAAACTGCAATTTCTTCAATTTATCTCTATTTACTTTATACGTTTCAAAAATCTATCTTCCTGAATTCTTAAACTGCCAATATTTCTAATCTCTATCCACGCAAATATCTCTGTTCCAATATTCCTCGAACGACTTTCCATTACAAAATCCTCTCAACGACGGATATATCCCCCCCCCCCCTCCAAAAGATCGTTTTTAGATTTACGCCTCGAATAAATTCTAATTCGACACAGTCTCCCTCCAAAATCGTGTTTCTGATCGCCGGTTTTCCGGATCGGTTGCAGGCGATCTGAGGCTGCCGGGGCCGGGACCAGGCCCTGTCAGGTGCACCCTGAGGAAGCACAAGCCGAATCGGAAGCCGAGGACACCGTTCACCACGCAGCAGCTGCTCTCCCTGGAGAAAAAGTTTCGCGAAAAGCAGTACCTAACCATCGCCGAACGAGCGGAATTCTCGTCGTCCCTTCACCTCACGGAAACGCAGGTGAGACGCCTCGAAAATTAGCAAATTAACAATTAAGGGGGGGGGGAGGAACATTTTTGTATTCTTGTGAAAACGTGTGTATTCTCGCGGAGAATATACACTTTTCTGTTGACTCATAAATCCCGTCGAATCGGAATATTCGTATTCTTTGGAATGCTTCAGGTTTTATTATTTTAACGATCGTACTTGAAACGTATTCGTTTTGATATGGACGAGTGGAAATAAGGTGTTTTTGAAACGAATACTTAATAACAATAGATTTTAAATAGTAATATATTTGATGTAATTCTTGTATTCGGATTTTATTTAATATTTGTAATGCTTTGGCCCATTTCCTTTGGTCTGTCTTAAAATAATTTTCTTTTTTTTTTAATAACGCATAATAATGCGAGATAATTGAATTTAAAAGTAAGAAAGAACGTGATTGAAAGTATTCGTGAAAGTTTCAAGTCGATATTTTATTTTATAAAATCTATCTATATCTGTATTTCCATATGAAAATCGTTTAGAGAAAAATTATTTATGTGAATTTTATTTTTGCCAAGATTAAAATGAATTCTCAATCTTCTCTTTCGTTTCTTCAAACGCGCAAATTGTCCGGATTTTAATATCTTTCGTAAAAAATAAAAACCTATTCCTAGACGAAAAGACAGGTCCCTTCAAGAATTTTTCGTCAGAAAGAAAATTGTTCTATATAAAACAAACACCCGAGCTCTCATTGAAATCTGATATTCGAATACTTTTATAATAATCGTCACAATGTTGCAACAAACGAAACAATTCGGATAACTTTAATATTAATTACCAAATTGTTCCACATTTCAAGGAAAATTTGGCAAATTTCTCGACCCACACAATAGAATCTCTTATTCTCGAATATTCACGTTTCGAAATAATATCATCCCTCGGAATTTTCTCTTATGTACTTCTTCGTCGTAGTTTAAAATACCTTGGAAAAAAAGAAAGAAAGAAAGAAAGAGCCGAAGCTTGTAACGATAGAAAAGAATGGAAACTATTCTCGGAAGCGCGTAAATAGAGAAAGTGGCAAAAAAGGGTGGCTCGCACGCAACAAGAGGATCATTTCGTTCGAAAGCACCGTGAACTTGCGACTCCTTTACGCGCATTTGTTCCTCCCCTTGTATTCCCTGGCAATTTATTTCTCCCTCTTTCTTCGCTCTCCTCTTTGTCTTCGTAATTGCTCGCCCAGAATCAAATTCTCTTCCTCTTTCTGCCTTTGCATCAGATACGTCACATCGAGGCGTAATTGCACACCCTTTCATGGAGGCAGGCAATTTTTTTTTTTCCTTTTTCGGTATCCAATTAACATGATTGACGTTAATTAAATTGAACGTTAATGAAATGATATTATATATATATATATATATATATACGTAATTTTTACGTATACATCGGAGAAAATAATCGGCAAAGAAGAAGATCGAAACTGTTTTCTCAAGCGTGTGCTGTGCGTGTGAATCGAAATCGAACGAAAATTCGATTTGTGAATTGTCTCCGATTATTTCGATCAATTCAACGTCGGATGTTTATCGATCTCGAAGTTTAATCAGCAAGCTTCGAGTAAGATTATGTTAATTCCAAATCGAAGAGAAATACGATGATATATTTGAATAATATTTTGATAACGTTGTTGAATAACTGTCTAATTGATATTAATTGTAGATGATTGAGACGTTTACAGGCAGACTTATTTATTATGTAAATAAGCTTCGAATTTAATCGAATTCACGAGTGGAGATTAATCTTGGTCAGAATTATCTCGGGAAAATAAATATTTTTATTGGAAAAATTTTATCGATGCGATAAAGCTTGTCGATTTCCATTTCTTCAGCTTTCTCTGAAACGGTTGATTTCTTGACGATCGATATTGGCACGAGTATGTTATTATTATTATTATTTTTTTTTAATAATGATCAATAATAGTATGTATTTAATATTTCCAGAAATGTAAAAATTTTAAGGAAATTTACATTTCGAATCGTTAATAATCAGATAATTGAATATCTCACACAGACATTTCGAAACGTCGTTATACATGAAACTAGTTATATACGCATAGATAACATATCATATAAACAACTCTGGTATCTAAAGAATAAGAAAATAGAAAATGGTTAATTGCATTTCAATTTTAAGCAGCAAAAGTAGACATCTTATCTATCTCGAGTACAAAAATAAATTCTACGTAATATTTGCCTGTAATCGCGCATCAGATAAAATAACATATCCACGACTAACATTTATTTACAAAAAATACTTTCCGTATTTCCAATATTCCAGCTTATTTCAATTTTTCTCCAATGCGAAACACGAATATAATCGAATTCATAAATGTCTATCTAAAAAATTCACTGCTCATTTACAAGAAATTTAAACACGCAAAACAAAACAAAAATCCGTAGAATACGCAAGATAATAAGCTTGAAAATAATCGAAATTAAGACGATAAATATAATAAAATCAACATATACATATATATATATATATATATTTAAAATTCCAAATTTGCATAATAAAATATTCACATCGTATACAACCGATTACCGATTCGAAAATAATTATCGAAACATTGAAAAGTTTTATCGGACGCGCGATTAGCCTGCCCGACCCCTTTTACATTCTGCTTCTACTTCTAATTTGTACCAACAGACGCACACGAAAGTGTTTCCTCCGCTGATAATAACTTAACGGCGTTAATAACTCGCGCGGGGTATAAATTAATTAAGGCTGCGCATAGAGTGGGCGTGTACACGCGTACCCGCCGTGTACCTCCCCTCTCCTCCTCCTCCTCCTCCTGTGTCATTTATCGTGTTTATTGCGAAACGAAATTTGTCAAGGGGAGCCCCGTTGTAAACCGTGGAGAAGGTCTCTGCTCTGATCTCAGGGAGCCCTGAGAGAAAAATCGTGGGGATTTGAAATTTTGAACGATCAATGAAATCAACTCGAGCCGCGAACACGTGTTCGTTGCGCAGGGCAAAGAGACGAGCGCTGCCTATTATCGCATGCGGTGGCGTGTTCGAATACACTTTGCGTATTCATTACAATGCATCAGACGAAATGAAGCCTCTCCTCGGCCCCGTTCATTTGCTTAGATAAGCTACGATCGCCCCTCCTCCTCCTCCTTGCTCTTCTCTTCGTCCTTCCGAAACAGGCCACCCCTCCCTCCTCTCATTATTCACCCGGCGACGAAGAGGTATGTTCGCGATTCGGGTTGCGATATTCACGCGGTCAGAATGCAATAGCGGCGTTCGTGGAAATTATTTTCGAGACGGTTGGCTGGATCGATTGGGATATTCATCGGTTTCAACGGGGATCAACGTTCGGTCGTGTTACGAACGTTTGAATATTTTAGATTTATATATTATTATGTAGAAGAGGAATGTTGTATAGGTAGGAAATGATCGAATCTTTGAAAAAAACTTGTTTTACGAAATTGGAGAAGAAAATGATGGAACGATGATGGTTAATATGTGTAATAAAAGATAAAAGAAAGATGATTATTAATGAAATTACTGTTGAAGCAATTATGTAATATCCATACAATGTAGAATTAAATTCTCTACGTGTAGTATACGTTGTAATTATAAAGAGGAATGTTATGTTAGAAAATGATCGAATCTTTGAGAAAGAGTAGCATAGAAAGAACTTGTTTTATGAAATTGGAGAAGAAAATAATGTGTAATAACACGTGAATCGCGAGATTGATTTGAAATAATTAGTAATTTGGACGAAAAGAAAGATGATTAGACGTGTTATTGGTATTAATGAAATTACTGTTGAGGCAATTATATAAATATCCATACAATGTAGAATTTGTAATTATTTAAAACTTATTTATTCGTATTTCCTCCAACAATGGCGATCACCCATTCATTTACGCAATTTAATAAAACTCGATACGAACGAACGAGACACTCCCTCTTCAATTTTTCGAAATAATAAAATCTCTTAGAGAGAATATCGAAAGGAAGAGTGCAATTCCAACCAATATCCGGAAAGAGAGAGAGAGAGAGTAATAACAATTCCAAAGGGCGAGTTACGTTATTCCCTGGAAAAATTGTATATTTGGATGGTATTACGACCGTGAAAAACAGGAAGTCGTTGGCGAGGAGAAAAACAAGGCGAGATATCGCAATATGTCTCTCTCTCTCTCCTCTACACCAACGATTTGATTGCGCATTGTCACGCGACGCGAGATTTCTACTTTCTAAGCGAGCCAAGACGAGGCTATCCTCCCCGAGGCTTCACCGCTCTACGCCCCGACATCGTGCCTGATTTATTAAGAAGTTGCGCGATTTATATCTTGCTCTTTTTCGCATCTGCGCGCGTTTTCTTATTTACCCCTCTTGTGTATATACCCCCTCGACATTATATCCATTCCAGAGATCAGATTACGGCTCCTCGTTACGCGTGCTCCAACCCGCTTAATGCTAATTCTTCGGCCAGTCGGCGGGCATTACACTCGATAAAAATGATGATAATGAGAATAATAACGATGATAATAGGAAGATTGTCGTCGTTGCACGCGCAGCTACCTGGGAATATTCGAGAGTATGATGGACTGAGCGAATATATATAATTTAAACAAACGTTTAAAATAATTTTCTTTTAATTAAAACAGTGCTACTCATCTATCTCAATCTGAGATACGCCGTTATTATATCACGCTTACCAGTTCTTTATTCTTATAAAGTTTATATACCCGTGCACACACTATTCGTGTGCTACTGTTATTTTGTTAACTCGTGCATTCTAGAGGATCATCTGCTTGGGAAACGAAATAAAAGATCACGTGTCTGTTTCTGTAGTATTGATATTTTTAATATCAATATTTATAATTATCGATTTATTTCTTCGAAAACAAGTAATTCAAGAGTAATACTTTCTTTATCCTTTTTCTCTTTCCAATGTTAAGTTAGTTTCTTTGTAAAATTATATCCTTCTTTATCTATGTAACAATGAACGAAGCATTCGAAGAGAGAACATTCAGCAAGCCTTCCTTTTATTTTTCATCGACACTAGTTTCTATTTAAAAAAAAACGATTATTATACTACGAATATGGATAACACGTCGCTTGCATTGCTCATCTTCGCGTAAAAAACGGATTTAGACGTCGTTGCGCAATCGCTGCGTGGATCGATTCGCGAAGGCTGAATCGCATCTGTCCAAACATGAAAATTGGCCGGCGACTGTGCAAACACAATTAACCAGCCGAAAGAGGGCTTCGAGCCGCATATCTTTCCACGTAGCAAGTTTCCAACTACATCGGCGAATTCCTACGTAGGCCGCTCCGGACGGCTGCTTTCACCAATTTGAGCCGGCTAATTACGCGCTAAATAGCCGTTCATGCAGCACTGCGGTGCACCTATTTTCTCTATCCGCCGCCGCGTCCCTTGTTAGACCGCTTCGCGTTACCGCACCCGCTTGATCGATAGCGTAATTATTTAATTACCGATGCATCGACGCTCCTTCCGCCACGAGTCGTTTTTCCCTAAACTGGTCATCGACGTTTCATGCGCGGGATCTTTAGATTTCGTTAATTTTTATTTCGCGTCTTGCGAAATCATGAATAATGATATGTGTAAATATAAAGTCGATTTGGATAGTTTTCATTGCGTTAAAATATCCGTTGAAAAACAGCCTCGACACGTAAATTCGAGTTGTAAAGAAAATTTATTAGGAAGAAAAAATTAGTCTGGCATACCTTTTCCTTGACACCGAGTCGAGTCAAATTGAATTTGAAACCTTTCCCTTTATGTTCCAGGTGAAAATTTGGTTCCAGAACAGGCGAGCGAAGGCGAAGCGTCTCCAGGAGGCGGAAATCGAGAAGCTGAGGCTGTCCGCGAGGCCGTTGCTGCACCCGAGTTTCGGCTCTGGCCTAATGTTCTCCGGAGTGGGGCCTCCTGGAACACCAGGAGTGCCTCCCTTCATCGCGGCGGCCATGGCTAGGCACACCCATGTCGCCGCCGCGGCGGCCATGTTCATGGGGCCCCCTGGACACAGGCCTTAATAAGGCAGAGGCGAGTCGCTCTTACCCTGGCCAGTCCGCCTCTTCCTCGCTGGCGGACGACAACGAAACTTGTCTCGACTCGAGGGAAAATGGAAACGGCTGGAGGAAATTTTCGCGATGGTGATGGGTTTGGAGAAGAGTCTCTTCGACCGATTCGGTGAGAAATTTGTGGCGACGAATCGATTTGTGATCGTGGACGATTTTCGAACCCATCGCCGTCCAAATAGGGATTGAAAGGAATAGCAGAAATATTTAACTCGGTGATTTCGCCCAGTGGGCGAATTTTGGACGAAAATTTTGAACTGCCTTCTTCTTTCAACCGCTCGAAACTTCCCCTCACCCTCTCGTGCCCATCCTTTTATTTTTCTACGTATATGGAAGGTCGCGGAGACAAGACTCGATTGAATGTAACGAGCGAGGGATCATGAATATTTTCGGGGCTGGTCGAAAACAGGATGGCCGCCAAGCATTTAGAAAGCATTTCAAGCCGTTGATCTCACTCACACGAAAATTCACGCGTATCACGTGGCGATTTGTATTGTACATATTGTAAATAGATTCTCTATCGGATCTCCGCGTATAAGTGTGTACGTATGTATATATAAATATATTAATATATCGGCACGCGTGTACAGGACGTTCGAATGAGTTGTGAAAAGGCTATAAAATGATCCGGGACGACATTTTGTGTGTGAGCCGCGACTCCGACTCGTTTCGTTCCCTTAAGAAAGATATATCAAATTTAAAGATAATCGAGACCAGGTTGAAACACGTGGCCGATCACTTGCTAGAACAGATAGTAGTATTCCTCCCGAAACGATCGAACGATCTCGTTTTTCTCGTTTGAAATAAACAAGGTAAAACAAAAGAAACGATTTTTTGGAAACGCTCGATCACAGTGTTGATTGATTCGTGCGCGGTATAAAAGTACTTCTTTTCAGAATTTTTCTTTTCCTCTTTCCCTTTTTTCAAACGAAAATTCAAAGAGCGTGTACATACATACGTGTCCAAGGGACGAAATGTAAATCGGCGATTCACACTGCGACGAGGATGTACCTTGCAAGCGCCCTGTATAAATGTAACATGATAATTTATCCATGGAAGTATACCATAGCGAAATAAAAATGATTTCAGTATTTACACCGCCGACTTGTTCACCGATTCAATTCGTGTATTATACCCTCGCGAATATGCCACGAATTTATTATTTATCGTCGTTTTCAGCGGCAAACAGGTAAGTGAAGGAGAGAATAAAATCGATTCGAAAAGGATCAGGAGGCTTTCGCACAGAGGTAAGTGAAGAGTTTCCTTTCTCCATTGAGCGGGAGGGAATAAAAGGAAGACAATGATGAGGCGTGTTACGTGTCTTATATAGCAAAAGGGAAGGAAGAAAGAGGGGAGGATAAATAAATAAATAAATAAATGAAGGAAGGAAGAGGAGGAAAGGAAGATGAGAAAGTTTCTTTTGGAAATCGCGTAACGCAAAGTCATCGGCGGGGAGACGTGGCGTGGCCCTCTCGTATATGGCAAGTAGTCGAGGCAGCGGTATAAGGCGGCCGAAAGTGTTCGGCGGATAATTAGAAATATGTTAATCCGGCGTAGCCGCTAATTGGTTTTTGACTAAATTTTTAATTAAGTCTTAAACCCGGGCGGCGCGCCGATTTATCTCGCTGGGCCCTTTGGCTAATTATAAAATATACGTATATATATATATATATATACGTGTCGACGCACACTCGAGTCCAGACCCTTGTACACCTGTACCTTTTCACATTCTTCCATCTTTCGATACTTGTCCAACATTGTTTAATTGGAAACGATCCTTTCTTTCCTTATTCTTGGAGATGTTCCACTCGTTATTTAAGTTAGCCTCGTGAATTTTTTGTTGAACATGGAAAGAGACTTCGAGAAAAGTTATTTATTCGTTTATTTATTTAAATGGGATCTATGAGTGAGTAAAGAAAACGAGTAGTAAAAACTGTAATAAGAAGGAAATGACTTTATTTGACTCCATTAATTGTTCTTTTGTTTGTTTTCAAATTAAAAAATCAGGCATATCCACGTATCTTTTAAGCCACGATTTACTGACATTTTAAAATGATAAAAATATATATATATATATATATATATATTTAGTTAGATTCAAACACTACAAATTATTCTTTCTTAAACAATCAACAAAAATTAATCAAAATCTAATATAATAAAAATTTCTACAGAAACAAGCACATTATAATATTATTGAATCAGATCAAGAAAAAGACTTTAAACATCTTAAACAAAAGAAATTATTTTAAAAAAATTGAACAGATGGAAAATAGTTAACATTTCAGCAAGATTTATCTTCCTGAAAATTTTTCAGATTCTTAAAAAAAAAAAAAAATACCGAGATTACATATAAATACATTTTTCCAAAATCTACAAGTATTTCTTTTTTTGTTCTTTAATATTATAAATCTATAAGTACATATACATTTGCAAATATATACTTTAGATATCAGATTATATTTATGGTGTATATCGATTATTTTAAAAAATGTAACTTCCTTCCGTTTACTAATTAAAATTTACTATTTTAGCATTTCGTTATAATTGGCAGAAAGAGTTAAAGTCATAAAACAATTTCACGTTTTTCATTCGATAATTTTTATCAATTCGAAAACAAAGACATTGGCACGGATTTACACGGATACGCGAAATCGACTCGACGCCAATGCATGGATTCACGGCTATATTCTTCCCTATCCGCAAGAACGGGGTAGAGCCAGCTTAAACGGTCCGAAAACGAGAAGGCTCGGGCTCTGGTTCCACTCTGGCACGTCCGATCAAAGAAGTTCGCCGCCTTCTTTGAATCCCTGGACCGCTCGTAACTGTCGTCCCTTCGGCCGAGACCAGTAGCCTAATTGTTCGTACCGGTGCCGCTGATATACCGGTTATTAGAACCGGCCAAATCGTCGGGAATCGTTGTCCCCTTCCTCCTCCTTTCAAAATCTTCTTCACGAAGGATCTTCGAATAAAACGGAATAATAAAACAAAACTTTTTCGAACGAACCGTTTTGCCCGATCGTCGATAAACCGTTTTGCCGAGTCGAGTCGTGCGCGACGCGCACGAGCGTAAATCTCGTGGAATTCGAGAGACAGGCAGGCAGTCGAGGCTTAAAGCGGAGCGTATTCGTCAGTGGCGTGACTAGAGGGCACAAAGCACGATATCGAGGCGGACACACGAGAGGTGAACTCGACTTTCCCCTCTTTATACGGAACTCCATCTTGGTCGAGGATCACCTACGTGGGCATTGAGAGAGAGAGAGAGAGAGAGAAAGAGAGAGAGTATATACGAGGAGGAAACGTGTATACGCGTCGAGAGGTCGAATGAGGACGGGGTTGGCGGGGGAGGGAGGGACGCTCGAAAAGAAGGAGAGCAAACGGCGACCCTCTAGAACGACGATTTACCGTTAAAGGGTTTACAAACAGGCGCCAGGTATTTGCTACCTCCGCGGATCGGAAGCTCTGTTCTCGGCCTCTCCTCCTCCTTCATCCAACCGACCGTTCCGCCGCCGTTTCCTTTCTCGCTCCTCGGCCACCGTTTCACCGGATTCCCTCCACGATGGAGGAGAGTCTGTTACACACGCCGCTCCCATATAGATGAAATTTATGTACGAGGCCGACCGATCCTACGCATGCGGCCACATTGAGCGCTGACAATTAATTAAAGAATAATTTCTTGTCTTCGCGATACCCGGAGGAGCGTCGCCGGTTGGCGGCCAATTATGCCTCGGGACGAGAACGGAATACCAAGCAGGCCTGTCCACGACATCGAGAGAGAAAGAGAGAGAAAGAGAGAGGGAGCTTCCTTCGATGTGCTCGCGCAACGCTACCGCACAGCCTTCCCTCCCTCCTCGAATCCTTTTCTCTTCGACCATCTTCTCCTCCAGCGCCCCCACACGCGCGCAATGAGAAATCGACGTGGTTTTCGAACCGAACGGATTTCGCGCGCTCGAGAGAATTTTCAACCGCCTGTGGACGGAATCGAATCGAATCGTGTGTGTGTGTGTGTGTAATACGTGCTTCTATCGGATCTCTTTATTATGTATCTCTTCCCTCGCGATTTCTCGATCGGAAATCGTTCGAATCGAGATATTTTATGTTAATTTCGCTTGGAAAAATTTCGAAAATAAAATTGTAAAGAGATAGGTGGAGCTTTGCATTTCGAATTTTAACTTCTCGTGTCATTTAATTTCGTCGAACAGAAATTTCGTGTATACGGATTAAATTTATACGATAAGTAGGTTTCTAATACTGAATATTGGCAGGGATGAATAATTCTTATGTATATAATTAATATTTCTCTTCATCTTTTTGAAACTGACATTTTAGATTGTTATTATATATTGAGTGATTGAAAGTGAATATCATATCGTATTCATTCATTATACTATGTATTCACATTCAATTTATTATATATTTGTATTATAATTTTTCCCTACATCAAAATAAGGAATAAAATTTAAAAAATGACTTCCAAATCAATATACATAAGTATCCAATATAACAAAATATCGATTATTAAGGAACAACTCGATAGATCTCAACGCCTCCTTTTATTCAATCTTTTTAGAAAAAAAAAAAAAAATAACCATCAAACCGTTCCGTCCAAAGATCTCTCCACACGCGACTTAAAACACTTATACAAAATAAAATAATCTCGAAGAAAAATTTGAAAAAGGGGAGACACGCTCGTTCAAATTCTCGACCCCGCTTAATTAATTCGACCGTTACGCATCGTCCCAATTAAAATCGTTCTCAAAATCACATTTCCTTTTAACGACAATATATCCGGATATCGGATATATCCGTGCTCGAAATTACAAAGCGTGTGTCATCGCGGTGCACCCGAGCTCGCCCCGAACTTTCCATCGCCCGACAGATCCCAAAAATCTCCCCCTCCTCTGCCCCCAAAAAAGGGTAGGAGCCGTTTTAAGTGCTGGACCGGAAGGTCGGGGCCGAGTGGAGGGGGTAAAAAATTCACGGTTAACGCG